GGGAAGTGACTGGGTCAGGCTTCGTCTGTGGATTAACACACTGTGAGATCATAATTTGAGGTGTCATTAGTGTAGTTGTGGAGACAGGACATAGAACCTAGATGAAAGATATGCATCGGGGGTGTGGACTTGAGGATTATATCCAAACCCCTACCCGCTCCTCTCTAGTTTTTCCCCCCGCCCGCTTCCTCACCACCATGAACTGTGTGGCTTTCTTCTCCCACACCCTTCCCCCTTGATGTTTCTGACTCATCATAGACCTAAAATCAATAGAGCCTGCAATGACAGACTAAAACCTTGAACCAGTGAGCCAAAATAAATCTTTCTTCTTTTAAATGGTTAATCTCGGCTATTTCATCATAGCAATGGAAAGCTGACTAACATAGAACAGCCAAAACAATGTTGAAAAAAAATCAAATTAGGATAAAAGAAAATATTTGAAGAGAGAGAATTGTACCATATGATTTCCAGACTTCCTATGAAGTTAAAACGTTCAAGACAGTGTGGTATTGGAGGAAGGGTATACATAGGTCAAGGGAATAGAAGAGAAAGTCCAACTATAGATGGATACATATAGGACAATTGATTCATGATAAAGTTGCAAAAGCAATTACATGGAGAGAGAATGGCCTTCTCAACTAATAGTGCTGGAACAACTAGATATTCATGAAAACAGTAAAACTCAATCGATATCTAGTAGCATATGCAAAAATTAGCTCAAAGTAGATTATTGACTTAAATGTAAAACCTGAAGAAAACCTTCAGGAGAAAATATAAAAGAAAAGCTTTGTCATTTTGGATTAAGCAGATACTTCTTAGATATGGCCCCAAAAGTACAGTGGCACCTCAGTTCACAAACTTAATTCTTTGCATGATTTTAGTTGCAATCTGAATTGGACAAGAACTACATCAAATTCAGTGGTTTAGGTGCAAGGTTGACCTTATAGAGAAATTTGATTCAGTTCTTGTCCAATTTGATTTGTAACCAGAGTTGTAGAAAGAATTAAGTTCGTGAACTGAGGTACCTATATTAATCTATAAAAGAAAAAAGTATATATTGGCTCCATCAAAATTAACAATTATAATCTCCAAAAGATATCTTTAAGAAAGTTAATAGAGAAGAAAGCTTCCAACCAAGAAAAATGATTACTTAGTGATTTATTTCCTAAAGAATCCAGAATATGTGAAGAATACTCAAACAAGGCAAATACAAAATGGACAAAATATTTGAAGACACATACAGCAAAATGCACAGATTACAAATAAGCCCATGAAAAGCTACTAAGCAGCAATAATTATTGTTGTGCCCAAGTTGCAAAATCCCCAAGACCACCAGGAAACTCTTCTGATGTAAATACACGAGGAGTTTATTGCAAGCTCGAGCCTGGACTCCCAGTGTCACTGACACAGCGGCTTCAAACTGTAAGTCCTGACCCACTAAATTAGCCTATTTTTATAGGGTTTGGGTGGCTTGAAATTCTCTTTATTCTATTGGCTTTTTTTACAATTTCTGCTGATTCTATTGGCCTATAATTCTAACTTACTATTGGATATTATAAGATGTAATGCTTCAAATTTATTGGCTACTATTTGGGCGCGGGCAGGGGTTTGCACGGGAGATTTATCTTAGTCATCTAACTGCCACAGCCGGTTTTGCCATACTTTGACCTGGCTGCAGTTTCTGGAATAAACCACCCAGTTGCGATTCCTGGAAACTGCTCAGTTGCATTTCCTGAAAAACCTGGTTTTTGGTTAATCTATTCTTCGGCAATGGAAGGCTATCTGCAGAGTTTAAAGGTCAGCTCGAATAATGGAGCATCTAATCTGGCTTAGCTAAAACGGCGGAACTTTGGCCTCTTTTTGGTTCCTCAATTATCAAGAAAATACAAATTAAAACTACAGTATCGGGTCGGGGATTTAGCTCAGTGGTTCTGCCACCTGCCTTGTAAAACACAAGGACGTGAGTTCGATCCCTGGTCCAAAAAAACAAAACAAAACTACAGTATGATGCCACCATATCCATTAGACTAACAAATATTTTTAAATTCCAACAAGTAGCAACAGCAATGTTTATAGCAGCTTTACTTGTCAGCCCCAAATCTAGAAACAACCCTCAAGTTCTCCCACAAATCATGACATATCCCTAAGATGGGACTTTACTCATTAACACAAACGAATGAACTATGCACAGCACAAATACCTGAGAAAAACATCTCTAAAAAGGAAACATTTATTTTGGCTCATGGTTTCAGTCTGTGGTCTGCTGGCTCCACTGCTGTGGGCTTGTGGGAGAAGGGTGGGGAGCAGCAAAGCTCTTCCTTAATAATCTATCTCCTGAAGAACTTGTACCCAAAATATGAGATCAATATTCAAACAAAGAAGGCCAAGTATCAGGTATTAGTCAGGAAGCAAAGAGAAAGGGGCAGAGCCAGATTGTCCCCAAGGTCAGGACCCCCAGGCCTTACCTAATCTAATGTTTCCATCACCCCCAATAATGCCATCAAATTATGATTTTATCCATGGATTTACCTCCGAGGAAGTTAGTGCCCTGTGGTTCCATCATACCCCCAAAGCCTAAAAGCTGGCAACCACCCCTTTAAGCACATGACTTTGGGGGAGAATTTCAAACTCGAACCATAATACCACCCTTTTTTAAGGGCAAGGAAAGCAAAGTGGTAGCCTTAAATTTTGACTGGAGATGAGCTCCCTGCTCACCAGTCCTTAGGGAAGGAGAGGTTGGAGGTGTAGGTGGCGCTGACACACCAGCATCCAGCAGAGCCTTTCTCCTAAATGGTGCAACTGCGAAAGGAGCACATGGCAGCTGCCACCCTTGAAGTCACCTAAGGTGTTCCTTGAGCGAAACACCACACCCTACTCGATCCAGGCCTACAGGCCAGCAAGGGGTCCCCCACTCACTCAGAGCTTCCCACTCACTTTCTGGAGCACATGTGCACTGCAGCCTCTTCTTGGGCCTCCCTCCCATAGGCCTGTGCAGCCAGCAGCTCCCACCAAAGAGAAAACATGACTGCCTGCATGGTGCTGAGCCCCCCTCCTCCTCTGGCACGCTGCACTGTCCCAGGGAATGAGACTGCAAAGGCTCTGTCTGCTGGCACAAGTGCCCGCGACTGGGGACAGACATCCTGTGACACTCAGGATCCTCGGTGGCTCTCATCTCCAGGAGAAAAGTCCATCTCCATGGCTCCCACCTTGAGCTCATCCCCCACCCTCTGTGTAGCATCTGTTGACGAACATGTGAGTGATGAGCTTTTCTGTTTTACAGTTCTCTGGAACAGAAATGCGGTTTATGCAAGGAAGAGAGAAGAAAACAAACGAGGGGTCAGCCTCCTGTGCTCCTGGTTCCCTTCGGCGCACTGTGGATGTTTTGTGGAGGAAGGCTCCGTGTCTGGAGGTGGGAAGAGACTGGCTGTAGTGGACTCCTGGTACCTGGCCTCCTCTCTGTTGTTCCTAGGAGCTAACATTACACAGTACTGAGCACCCACACCCTCTCAATTACTCGGAACAGTCATGCAAGGCTGGCTGACATGCAGCTAATGTGCATCTTGAACACCAAAGTGACTGTAGGATGGTATGCGCCCCACTAGCAGAGCCCTCAGGACCCTGTATTTCCCCACGGAGCAGCAGGGCTGTGGCTCCCATTCTTGTCCAGTCTGAGGCAGGATCACTGGCAGTGTTATTGTTTCTCCCTACACTTATATTTTTGGTAGGGGAACAGACAGTTGAAATCTGTCCTTTCCAACAAGCCACTCCGCCCTGGAGACACAGCAGGACCCCGTGGGGTGCAGGAACAGGCCGCCCAGAGCCACCCTGGGGACCAGCTTCCAACGAAATACCCACTGGTCCCTGGGATGTTCCAGTGCACCTGATGAAGCCTGTAGACAGACACCCTCAGCTTCCCCCGGGCCTGGCTGAGAAGCCCTTTCTGTTCTCCCTTCTCTGGAGTCCTCAGGCCACAAACACCTGAACTGCTAGAACCATGGAGGGAGAACTCCCACTCCCACCACTCTTACTACCCGTCGCTCGCCTCCCTTCTCCATAGCTTATCCTCCGTGGCTGGCAGTACCTGTAGGGAGGCCAGGCCTACTGTGACCAAAGTCTCCCTCGAGATCCTCCACTGCTAGGGGGAGATCTGGTTTTAGTTTTGTTAAACTGTTTGCTAAACACAAATGACATGCTTCTTCGTTTCCTGGAGCTTTGGGAAAACAAACGGGGTGCGGGGGCAGCCTGCAATTCATCTTTCTACAGTCCCCAAACGAAAGGGAAGAGGAAATGGATGCCTGTGGTTGGTAAACTTAAGTGGCTTAACTCAAAGCCCTGCTCCCCCTGCAGAGACCGGGGACTGTGCCTCAAAAGCTGGCTCCTTTCAACAGGTTTCAGTGAGAGCTGTGCCAGCCTCGGAGGCCCAAGCCGCTCTGAGGCACATCAAACCTCAGAGTTTGTCACCTGGAAGCCCGTACAAAGATGCTGGGGAGAGTGGGGTGCAGGGACAACGTCTTGTTAACCCTTTTTCTTAGGAGCATTCACACCCTCTGTACCAGGCCATGTTGCATGTGTCTTGGTCTTGAAGAACTGGGCTGTTCTGCAGCACAGGCCAAGCCAAATATAACAGGTAGCTGACTAGACCTGTCTCAAAAGGATAAACCCCAGCTAAGCGCAGAAATAATATCCACTGCCTTTTATCACACAAACATCCGGAGAGCCAAATGCGAGAAAGGGCCGGAACACAGGTTCTCACTGTTATCTCATTACGTCCATTAAATATGTAAGAAAGAAAATGCTTCCCCTTCTCCCGGCTGGTTTAAACTATTAGGGAGCAGATAAGACTTCATGCCGGGAACTCCGAAACTGCCTGCCAGGGAGGCTCCGGATGGAATCCAGGTTCACACCTGTCACAGACGGGAGTCTAGAAAACCGAAGCAGTAACGTGCCCCCCGAGCCCCCCAAGGCTGTATCCCCAAGCGCCTAATCTGTAACTCACGAACCCTGGATCAGGGAGACGAACCTCCGCCCCAAGATGGAAAATCGGTGGACTCCAGGCAGAAACGCCAGGGCTGCAGAAATTGCCAGGGGTTGCAGGCTGCCCAGCGAGATGGCTAAGTTGCTTCTGGCAAGTTGGAAAGAGCTGACCAATTATTCATGCAACTGGATCAGCAGGCATCTTATCTTGTAGCATGAATCAAGAGATAAAAATTCCATTCCAAGAGTGGGTGGAGCCTAAACCGGGTAATGTAATTGTAAGCTGAAAAAGGGAAAGGAGGGGAAAAAAGTCCATAAGCTCGTTGGCTTGGGTTGTGGTGTGAGCACTTGAAAGATTCGCCTGTCCCCAAATTGTTTTTCCCATTCCCAAAGCCTCCCGACAGAAGGGAAAGGGCGTGCTCTCCTCACTGTGCTCCAGGCCTCTCAGGAAAGCTCCAGCCATAAACCTCCATCTCACAGCTGGTGAGGGGGGTGGATTTGTGAGTCCTCAATCTGCAGCACCTCAAAGTATTTCTAATTTAAAATTAACTGGCTTCTCCCAGGCTGAAACCCAAAGCAGATGGAAATTTACAAACAGCTGCCTAAAATGGCTCAAAACAAGGCAAATCCAACTCGAAAGATACTTTGGCCAGCCAGGTATATATAGTTAATCCCAGCTACCTAGGACGTTGAAAGAGGAGGAGCTCAAGTCTGAGGCCAGCCTAGGCAACTGAGTTAATAAAAAATGTTTAAAGGTGGAGGGGATAGAGTTTGACGCTAGAGCCCTAGGCCAGCATGCATGGGGTCCTAGATTCAGTCCCCAGTACCAAAGAAAAGGGGGAACCAAAAACAGTGCTTTACTTTTGTCCTTCTGCACTCCTGCTCCACTCGCGGTCTTGCACTCGACAGTTCCTCGGAAATAGATTCAGAAGATGAAACTGGGGAAGCGATGCTTTATTTAGGGACTAGATTTGACCATAGGTTGAACCATATGTGCTTCTACATACAGAGAACATATGTGTGTGCATGTGTGGGGCATATATATGGTGAAATACACACACACATTTGGAAATGTAAGCAGAGAAAATATACATTCTGAGATAGATTTGGAGAGAGGTAAGTGGAGAAATACATATATTTGGAATATACATATATTTGGAGCTACTATACATATGGAAAGAGAAAATAATCTTACACCCAAGTATCAGCAGGGGTCAGCCCCCCAGCTGTAGGAGCATGCGTGGCTGGTAGTTTACTTCTTTCTATTTTGTCTGTATGTCCCCAACAGTACATTAGGAGCAATGCTAATTCTAATGGGGAGAAATGGCGAACTTCATGCTCTCCCGATACTGTACTATATGAAGAGCTATATGATTTTTGTATGGGAGGACAACCAAAACCTTTATAACCAACATAGTCTGAAGCCCCTCCTCCAACAGTGCAGAGGAATTCGGCTCAATAGATTTTCCCTTTCCTGGCACTCGGCTGCCAGGGGGAGAGGTGCACCCTGCAAAGCCACACTTCCAAATACACACAGGTGAAGAAGACAGGTCCTGCCCATGCCCTGTGCTCTTGGCAGAGTCCCACCAAAGGAAAGATCAGGAGCAGGGACTCTGGTGACAGCTGGCACAGTTTGGCACACACCCTCATTCCTCCCGCCCTTCCCCAGGTCAGGAAAAAGGAGTCCGAGGTTGCCTTCTCTTCTTGCGTATCCTACTTGGGAAGATGCAGAGTCCCAGTGATCTTCCTGAGCTTTTGCCTGTGTTACAACTCCCACTTGTCTTATGCCTTTTTCTTTTGGTCTTCCCATCTTCTTGTCCACTTCCTTTCTCTTGCTTCCAAAAGCCATCCACCTGATCCACTTGACTTGGTCTGAGGTATCGCCACACAGGCACACACACCCATGCACGCACACATGCACGCACAGCACGTAGGGTGCACTTTGTGCTCCGAGTTTACATAAATGGGTCTTTCCACTAGGCACTTCTCTCACGAGGCACCACGCTTTGTAGATCTCTCTACAGTGTTGCTCCAACAACCGAGACTCGCTCTACAGTCCTCATGTCTGACAGACGCTTGCAGGTAGGGCACAGTAATGGCTCTAAGACTGGTCTTGCACAGGAGGCACTCAGGACAGGCCTCTGCCTCCTTTCCCTGTCCTCCTGACCTGGGATGACCCCATGGCACCATTTGGAACTGAGCTGTTGCTCTCCAGAAAGCCCCCCAAGCCCCACACCCTGCAGGGCCGAGCCCAGCAAGGATCTTGCACACCTGGGAGTCACTCAGCCACAAGCACTGTGAAGTGAGGGCAATGTCTCACCAAAAAGCTATTCTGACGTCCTTCCTCGCTTCGTCTTGCTGGATTCACCCCCAAACCCTCAGAGGATTCTTAAATGTTACATAAAGGATACCAGGCTCATAGAGGGTGCCCAAGCATGTACCGTATGAGTAACAGTGCCAAGACAGGAACTCTACTAGATGCCCCAGACTTCCTGACCCCAGACAGGGCTGCCACTCCACCCTACCACCAACAAAGGCTTTCTCATACTGATGTTTTTGCTGCTAGGGTGAAGAAAGCCTGAGCCACCCCTTTCTTCTAAAGGCTCTCTGCAAGCCCTGCTATGCCTAAATAGCTCCGACCTGTCAATCCCACACACAGGGGGATACCACCTTCCACTCTCCCAATGGACAGAGGGGACAAGTTGTGAAGTGTGGATGAGGTTATGGGTGCCCTACCCCACTGCTCACCCACTCACCTAACAAACAAAGCCTTGGCGTCAGTGAGAGGACCAGGCTAGGCCGGGGACTAGAAACCTCATGCAGACAAGGCTGATGACAACAAGTGCTTGCTCTTCCCTGTGCAAGGTGTAAGCACCTTCCCATCGAGTTGGCCCTATGCCTACTAATGTGGGGAAAGCCCAGCCTACCTCTGTAGAAAGAGATCCTTACAACACGAACTAAGATGTGTCTCTACAGGTCGGCAGTTGGCAATCCAGTGATGAGTTAAGGAGTTTATTAAAGAATTATTACTAATAAGTTAGTGAATGTGAGGATAAAATCAAACCATTCAGCTTGGATACCACCCAGAACAATTGTGACAACTCCATTGCTAGTCAATATCTGTCCATCTGCCTACCCATTCACCCATCTATCCATCTGTCCATCCACCTATCTATCCATCTATTTACCCATCCATCTATCCATCCGTTTAGGCACCTATTCACCCATTCGTCCATTATTCATATACCTACCCTTCTTCCCATCCACCCATCCACCTGCCCATCCTCCATTCATTCACCCATCTACCCATCTTTCCATTCATTCATCCACTTACCCTCCATCCATTCATCTACTTACACACTTACTCATCTATCCATGTACCCATCCATCCATTTGTCCATTCATTCGTCCACTCACCCAGCAATCCATCCACTCATTCATAACATGTCCACTATGTGCCAGGTTCTGGGTTCAGCCCTATGATGCTATTCTCTCCCCATATGCACAAGAGCTGCTTAGAACAAAGACTGAGACTGGTACAGGAGCCACTGTAGAGAGTCCCCAGGAGGCCAAGGAATTGTCTCAATATGACACCCAACAGGAGAAAGACAAGAAGGCAATCAGGATCCAGAATGAGGAGCCAGACTTCCAACCACAGACTAGGTTCCTGTCCAGGCTCCACTGACCACCAGCTACGTGACCTTCAACTTCTCTCCAGGGAGTTTCAGGGTCTGAAAAGGTTGGATCCTCCTCCGGCCTGGCCCCTACTTCAAACAGCCCAGGAGGCCAGTCTGATGTTTATTTGGTTATTAGATAACCAGGCCCAGCACCATTTCTTTGATCAGACACCCCTGATAAGAAGCAGAGGAAACAGACCATTTTATAGCAAGATTTTGGAGGGTGATCTTATCTCCTTCAGTGTTTTTAATAGGGATGAGGGTGGGGAGGTAGATGTTTGAAGAGGCCGGGGAAGGAGAAAGGGCCTGACCTGCAATGCTTTCCCATCCTCCGACCCTGGACTTCAGCTTTGGGGGAAGGATGGGAACACACAGAACAGGAAGGCTGGCCTCCTCTCTCCCTCTCATGGACAGCTGGCTTGTAGCTGTCCCTCACTCCTGTCCTCAGCAAGACTCCCATGTCCAGCCTAAATCGTGGGCAACTCTGACCACCTGGGGATGTGCAAGTTAACAGTGCAGAAAACCCAGCTCTGGAGCCCCGAACGCGGTAATGCCTTTCAGGCGTGACTCTCCACCAGCACAGACTACCTTACAGTGGCTGCCATATCAAATCCGTTCCTGTGATTGTTCTGTGTATAAGAAAGAGGTCCGCAGCCCAGTGCCTATCACCATGCCTCTAACTCAAGGCGAGGTCTGGGCAATATCACTTTCTTCTTTATTTCTTTCTCTTTTTTGTTTTTGGGTGTGATTAAAGATATTTTTTAAGCCAATAAATGAGTCTTAGCTTCATTTCCTTCTTCTGTTCTCATTTGATCTCCTGGTAACTCAAGGAGAGTTCCTGTTTATACACCATTTGTTGTCCATTTTCTTTGTTTGTTTGTTTGTTTGAACTTTTCTGGATGAGGTTCATCTTCCTCTGCACAGATAGGTGTAGGTGGCTCAGCTGCCCTGGGCTTCTGTCTTCTTAGCCGTGCAGTGCAGAGTGCTAGACCACTCACTGCGGCGTCCCTTCTCGCTTCACCCACTGTCCTGAGCTCTGTGTCCCTGTGGGGCTTAGCCAAGACCTGGAGGACACCACGGACTCAGGCTTCCCAACTCTCTCAAGCTCTGCCAAGTAAGGCTGCTGAGGCATGGGTATTTCCACTGCTGCTCTCCAGCCCTGGAGCAAAGCGGACCACGCCGTGAGATGGAACCCGCCACGGAGACACAACAGTATTGACAAGAGGGGCCTCGGAGCTCTTCTGCCTTCCAGCGGGGCCACATTGGAGCAGTCGTCCCCAGTCTTGGGACCTACTTCACCATTCCGTAACACAGGGCTAACACTAACTCCTACTTTTCACTGGGTTGCTTGGGTATAAAGGACTCAGCACCTGGTTTGCACCAACTTCTCCAAAAGCATCACGATTCCTCTTTCTTATAAATAAACCTACACAACTATCAGCACAGGTGCCCCACACTTTGTGCGGAAGCTCCTGCTTGTAACAGAAGCAGTCAGTCCTGAAAGCACTGAATTATGATCCCACCTGGGACATCGGTGTAGCACCCCCTTCCCACAACAAGCCATTAATGCTTGACCCCCCCATCTTCACCCGGACTTGGAAATGCCCACAGTCAGAAAGCCTAGAGGGGGCAGTCTCCAACTGCTAGGACCAGAATGATGTGTCATTTTTTAAACTGTCATTATAAATTTTGCATGTATAAAGCCACATAATTGCCACAAATAATCACAATTATGCAATTACAAACAACCACCCTGAGGAGCTGTCCTCCGGCCCCTAACAGTTGTCCCTTGCATACCAACTTAGCATGCGGCTGTCACCACTGTCTGCAGGGAACCCTCCTGGTGAGCTCAGTTTCATCAAGGCCACCTTAAGCCCCATGCTGCTCACGGTAATGAGCAGCAGAAACCAGGGAAAAGCCATCATTGTCAGGAAGGAGACTGGTCATCTTCCTCACACTTCCCTTTGTGTAGGATCATGCTGTGCCCCGCTGCTTCCTGCACGGAAGAAAGCAAGGGCGTCCAGGGGACCCTAGCTGGGTCGGAGGTGAAGAACTTGAGTGACTCCCGGGGGCCTCACCTAAGTCTCTGGTGAGAAATCAAAAGGAGAGGTGGGCTCCCCTAGTCCCTCTGGGAAAACAGCCCACAAAAGTGCCACAGGCAGGGCCGTGACGCCTGTGGAAGGGCAGGCTGCCTGCTCAGACAGGGCCCCAAAAGACAGGCTCTCTCCTCTCTCCCTTTCATCTCTCTCCCTCTCCCTCTCCCTCTGTCCCTTTCACTCCCTCTGTCCTTTTCTGTTTCTTTTCTTGCTCCTTTTCCCCAGCGGTCTTCTTTCTCCTCTCCTTACCCACCCGCTTTTTCTTTCTCCCCCTTTTCCCATCTTTTCCTTTCCCTCTTTCAGTTCGTGGCAACACAAGGGAAGGGGCCTTGGCGCCCACACATCTCGGGTCCCAGCGACCCCTGTCGCCCCTTCCAAGTACCCGGATGGTCCATGGTGGAGGAACGACCCAGATTTGCATTTCCCATACAAGTGATTCTCTCTTCAGTCGTAAATCCGGTAACCTGCCACGGCTTTCCTTGCCAGGTGCCCACACCTTTCGGGGGTTGCCTGCCAAACTAGGGAGGCCCGGTGCCGTGGGGGGATCTGGCTCGTCCTCCCCCTGGCAGCTGCCTGCCACCCTAGGCTGACTCACCCTGAGGAGAATCGGGGGTGGTGGCAGGAGGAGGAGTTGGGGTGGGGGAGGAAGCCCGCTGCACGCTTTGCCTGGCGCGGCGGAGCTGGGGACAGCTAATTACAAAGAGGGCTGCTGGCTTCTGGGGCGCTCGGCTGGCCCCTTTCACTGTGCTCCTGGGCCTGCGGGGCGGCAGGTTGGCGCGACTTTTCCAGGAGTATCAGGAAGGCCTGGAGAGAAACTTCGGGGCTCCGCACCCGGCGGGGTTAGAGGCGCTTCCCCTGCCCCACGCCCTGTCCCGACCCGGGGCGGCCTGGCCAGGGCGCTGGGTGGCTTGGCGAGAGGACAGAGGACTGGGGAGACCAGGGCCTGGGGGCTGCTCGGCCCGGGTGAGCGCTCGCCTCTGTCTCCACCTCCTCCGGCGTCGGACCTATGAGTGCGCTGCTCCCCGCTCCAAGGCCGGGCAAGGTGAGCGCCAGAGGCGCGGGGCCCTCGAACCTCTCCGCGGGAGCCTGCGGGCCGCGCGTCATCTCCCGGCCCCTGCCCCGACGGGGGCCCACTGCCATGCTGCTGCTGCTGCTGCTGGGAGGTAGGTACCGCCCGAGGCCGGGACTGCTGGACCGTGCCGCGGCCCTTTCTCCAGCCTCACCGGGTTGGCAGCTGCGGCGCCACGGGACCCTCCTGGGCCCTGAGCAAGGAGCCGGGTCACCGAGCACGGGCCGGGTACTGGGAGCAGCATCTCGGATTGGACCCCCGGAGTGCTGATGCCTCCAAACAATGCAAGAGTATCCCAGAACCACAAGGGACGAGCCCAGGTCACCCTGGCCAGGGCTGCCGAATCTGAGACGCTCTGAATCTGAGGCCTGTAGATGCTTAGGGCTGTTTCCTGGGGCAGGATTGGGGGCCGGGAGGGGGAATAGTGCTGCTCCTTTTAGGTTGGTGCTCAGGAGGCCTGAGAGGAGTCCGGGGGAACCCAGGAGGCCCTGGTAAAGGAAACAGAGACTTCTCCAGTGCTGACGGCCTCCCAGGGGCTCTTGGTAGTCGCTACAAAGGGCAGCTGACTTCAGTATGCCATCACGGGGGCTCAGCCACCACTGGCAGAAATTACAGTAGTAACCACAGTCGTCAAAGTATGCAGACCCCAAGCGCCTTCACGTCCTGAAGGGCCCTGGAATCCTGGGCTCCAAAGTGCTGACCAGCTTCATATTAGCCCATGTGGGTGTCCGTCCACTCTCTCCGTCTTAATTTTTTTACCTGTTGAATGGGCTCACTAGAGCACTGAAGCTCCTAGGAGTGTTACAGGGATCACATGAAGACACGCAGGGGAGCCCTTCCCTGCTGCGTGGCACTGAGCCAGTGTCTGGCTGAAGGCAGCCAAGGCCACAGGCTGTGAGGTCCTGCAGTGGTCGCGCTGCCCATGTCCACGGCCACCCCCTTTCATAGACGCGGAGCACAGTGTGGCCCGGTACCAGGGCTGTTCAACCACAGCCTTTTCTTCCCAGCACCAAATGTCTATGCAAAATGTTTTGAGAAAAGTTGAAAGGGGTCTAAAGGAGGGTGAAGGGAGCATGTGCTTGCAGTTTGAAGAGTTGCAGATGCATCCATTCGAAAGGTACATTCATCAAGGGCCGCGTTCCCTGCTCGGCTGAAAGTGAGAGGTCACGCAGTTTTCCCTTGCCACAGATTCCCCATCTTGGCAAAAATAGGCCTAGCAGCTCTTCTAGCTTCCCAGGAAGTAAGATCCGGTGCCGGACGTCCAGATGGGGAAGAGAGGGAGACCTTGTGCCAGCCTCTGTCCCTCCAGCTCCCCGAGCCCTTCTGGCTAAGGGAGTTGAGGCAGTCCAGAGCAGTAGGACACACTGCCCCCAAAACCACCGTCTCCGTCACAGCACAGGGCTGTTGTCCTTGGCAGGCCCTGGGCTTCTTGTCATGCCAATAAAAATCGTGTGGAGTTTAGCATTGGGCTTGCTCTCGGGGAGTCTGCGACTTCACTCCTTGGTGCCTTTCACCAAACAAGCCAGACAGATTCTCTAGGAGAGACACCAAGGGTGTCCAGGGGGAGAACCGGGAGCCCACTCCCTGTTAGTTCAGGTGCGGAGGCCAGAAAAGAAAGGCAAGGATTCCATGCTGGCCACTGTCAACAGCTGCCAGTCCTAAGCTGGGCACCATTATCTACAGGGTGCTTCTCTCAAGTCCTTTGTCCTACCGGCTGCATCTCCAGATCTCAGGCTCCTTTTGCTGTAGTGAAAGGAAATAGGACCCAGCTAATCTGTCTGCGTTTATGTAATCTTGGGTACCTGAGCTGAGGCTGCCTGAACCTCGAGTCCAGGCTCCAGAAACTTTGGGTAGAATGAATGACACACCAGCTGCCCTGACAAGGAAATTCAGATTGAGTGCGCACACACACACACACACACACACACACACACACACACATCAGGGCTTCTCAACCATAGCACCATTTGTATTTGGAACCAGATTCTTTCTGGAGGGGTGGGGGCCGGGCATGGCGGGCCGTTCAGCTGCATCAGTGGCCCCTTCCTGCCGCAAGCCAGTGGAGCCCCTCCCAGCCTTAAGAACCAAAAATATTTCCAGACCTTGCCAGACGTCCCTTGGGCACCACTGCCCCCAGATGAGAACCATTCGTATGGACAGATCAACCTCAACTGAGAGCTTTTCACATGAATCTTTTCTCCAAATCACTGGATTGGATGGACTTTGTTATTCTTGTTCTGAACAATCAGGAAATCAAGGGCACAGTGGGGCCTCAAGAAAAACAACACAACCTAGGTGGTTTCTAATCTGGAGGTTGATTTTCTCCATTTATTCTCCCTCGGCCTGTATTTGACAGTGTTCTCTGTTTTTGACAATGTCCTTGCAGTGGATGAAGGAGTGAGGCCAGGGTACGTGCAGTTACCCACTGCAGCGAACCTGCCTCTGTCCAGTCCCGGAATGCCAGATGTGTCTTGGGGCATTTATTCAGCTGCCACATTTGCTACTCTCCACAGCAATTTCTGGCTTTAAAAAATCTCCTTATTCAACAACTTATGTTTCAGGAGGAAAATAAGAAACCACAGCTTCTTCTGCCTTTTTGTGTGCGTGTCTGCCTGTGCGTGTGTGTGTGCACACATGTGTACTTTTTTTTTCTAATTTCGGTGCTGCTTGTATCTGTGGTGGCAAATTATCTTTCGAGACAGATTAACCGGGACACAATCACAGGCTGTTCCATAGTAAATTAGCCTTGATGTGGGGCTCCATTTCAAATCCCACAATAAAAATGTGGAAGAAAATTAACTTAAATATATTTGTTGGAAAATTAAATCTAAGTAGAGATGAGTAATCGTATTAATTATTGAAAACAAAGACAATTGGCCACAGAAACTGTCTCGCCACTTGGCAAGTCCCAAGCGAGTCATCTTGGCCAGCTGTTTCTCTTATCTTCTGACCAAGGCTATAATCTCTAAACTCAAAAAACCCAGCTCAAGGCAAATGCAGCTGATTCCTTGATTTCAAAAGCATCTGGATGGCAAACCAGTTAGAAGCTACTCGTGAAGAAAATATGTGTGCAATGTATTGGACGTTAATTGTGCTAAGGAAAGCTTTAAGCCAGAATGAGCCCCTTTATAAAATTTCCAAGACATGGTGGTTCACTGCCAGCGTCAGTCTGCAAAATGAAGACCAACAGCCCGATGTAGAGGGGAGGGGAGGCTATTAAAATCAGTTTCATCTTGATGGCAACTGAGTGGAGCTAGGGGGATTCTCCAGAAGTTGGTGCGAGGGGTTGCTGAGAGCCCAGGCTGGCAGCTGGGTGTGGTTGTTCCTTAAATGAGAACAGCTTTCCAGAGTGTTTGTGCAAAGTGTTTGTACACTTTGGATTTTCTGATTGTCTCCAAAAGACCCCAATGCAGGAAACTCACACCAAGGAAACAAGATGCACGCAGAAGGACTGGAGGGAAGCTGCCACGTGGGAAAACTTGTCCCAGAGATGTCAGACTTCCTACCTTGGAGGGCAGCCAGTGGTCCAGTGGGCAAAACTTATGACCACCAGGATGACTGCCTGAGCACTGAGGTGCCAGCCGATATATTTAGTGTGTGAACCCATCGTGGAGATGGAACCAGGTCCCACCCTGGCTTTGTTCCCTTCCCATTGGCCTCCTGGGCCTGAGTCTCCTCACTGAGTTGGGACTGGTGATAGCTGCGGTCAGTGTGCTGAAGGATCAAATAGGATGATATGTGTTCATTAACACCAAGCACCTAGCGACCCCCTGTCCTGTTATGCACTACGCTCCCCGAGACCAGAAAAGGAGAACATGGGCTCCTGCACCCAGCAGGCTGCATTCAGCTTGTGCTCGGGCAGGTTGCTTAAGGCCCATTTTTTTAGTGGGCACTATGTTTCCTTCCTGCTCTGATGTGTTCTGTGCCTACAAGAACCCCTTGACTCATAAAGACATCAACAAATATCAGCGCTGTCTAACATCCACTGGGCATCTACTCTTCTTAAGGGCTGCAGGAACGTTAAATTATTTCTTTAGCTCTCTGCGACACAGGTACAGCTGTTATGAACTTTTAACACCTGAGAGGTGGCTGCTGCTGGGTTAGGGTGCTTTGAAGGGCAGAACCCTCGTGGCTTCCCTTGCTCAGGAACCACCCAGAGCATGTGAAATTCTGGACCCAAGAAGCCCAGAAGTCCCTGCTCCCGATGTGCTAACAGTCTGTAAGCACGGTCAGTCCACTCCCACCCACTGCCCACTACAGAGAAACCAGGGAGGCTGGGTTCCATCACCAAAGCCAGGGAGATACATTGTGATACTCGTTGATCCCATTAAAAGTAGAGCTTTTGTCCTGAGGAATCCCTGCTCCACCCTTCTCAAGTCCTGCTCTGTTTGAGACAAGTGGACAAGTGATTTTGCCTACCTAAGCTCCAATCCCTTTTATTTAGCTACAGTAAAATTTCCCTCATTCCCTCTAGTCTGGGGCGGGGGGCTGTCCAGCAAGATGCCTCACCTCCACCTGGGATTTGAGTCTCTAGCTACACCAGTAGGATGCTTGTTCCAGGACCCTGAATCTTAAGCAGAGTGGCCAGAAATTAAACACATTCATGCCTACACAGGCCATGGAAAACTGCAGAGCAATTCTCTTCCACTGGATTCCAAGAGCATCCGTTGATGCAGTGAGCACCCATGCCCTTCCAAGGAACCCTTTTTACCCCACAGGAATCACATTTGGCCTCTGTTGCTTGCAATCAAAGCATCTAAGCAATATGCTCATAATGTCCATTTGGGGACCAGGCTCCCTGAGAAGGTGACTAAATAGTGGACATGCCCTAAGCGCTCATTGCTAACTACTCTGAGAGCTCTGTATGCTATTCTTCTTTTTTAACTGAGCTGCCCTCACTAGGCCTCAATATTAAATTTACAGCAAACAGGAAGAAATGCAATAGCTCACACCCAACCCTACTCTTTCCCAAAAGTATGCACAAATACAGAGCAGGACATGGGTGTATTTAGCTTGGAATTACTAGTGACCACAGTGAAACGAAATTACCTGCTCTTTGAAAGCTACAATTAGAGTTGTCTTAGCATGTGTTTT